AATGGCGCAATTAATTGCCCTCGGAAGTCGTACGCTTTAACGCAACAGGATTAAATCTACTCTTTGTATGCTAAATGATTCTTCAAAATCCACTAAAGCCCGTGCCGAAAATACTCGAACGATCTCGAGCGTTTATTCATAATGTTTAGCAAGTCGTTTGAGAGGCTAGAGCCAAATTCGCAGCAAAAACAATGACAAAAAAGGATTTGCAGAAAATGTCGAGCAAATTCGTTTCAATCGTTTGTGCTAACATCCATTTACCAGATATTGTGTTCCATTGTGCAAAAAAGACTTTTTGCCAAACGATAATCATCAAAGTTAATTCTCGTATTTAATGAACATGAAATTCGGCTGAAATGGTTTGTTTGTTAGTTCGTTGGAAATTCTCTGAAAATGCCATTGCCTCCCTCTGCAAAAATGTGTACAATAAATTGAGGCGTAATGTAGAAATAGTCAAACAGTGACGAACAAAGCATGTAGTACAAATACTCGCTCGGAAAATTAATTAAATTTTCAGTTTCAAAAGAAAAGGTTGCCATGCATCTCTATGGGGAGGTTCATAATAACTGTGGCTTGTGAAATAATGTTCCTTTGTGCAACGATGTAATCATAGATTAATAAATAGTTACATTCTGAAATTTACGCTCGAAATTGAAATAGTCTCTGTGTGTCGCTTCGCATAGAAATGGCATTCGTCAATCGATATATTACAGATTGGATTCAATTTAAATGACAGAACATAGCACCGGCAAACACGCACATGTACATTTCCACACACAATTTCGCTGAAAACATCTCAGTTTCCATCAAAATGGAATTTCCAATCAGAAATTTAATGGGTTCTGGCCGAGTATCTGTAATGCATGCAAATCAAATGTTTTCTTTTGGTTTATTCAAACACATCGGAAGCACTGGCATCGACATAGTCAAATGTTTGTTCAACATTTCGGAACATACAATTGCTGGATATGTGTGCAGTGAAGCCGATGGTGTGTAAAGGTTTTTCGAGGGGCAACGAGGCTTCTATCGTTCGTAAATGTATCATTAGTTTTGTTTACGCATTCGTTTACATACAGTTTAACACATTTTTTCTCTCGATATTTTGTGAGTGTCTTTGGGTGGATACCATGATATGTAAATAGTTTGATTCAACCAAAAACATTATCCCCATTTCTAGTGGTATATACCATGTTAAATATCGAAATTACACTGAAAAGACTAACAAATTCAACATTATTATTATGCCTATCGTTTAACTTTGGGTTTGGTAGCATTTACCAAACAAACAGCGCACATTTCCTTTATATTTTATCTGGACATGAGCCTTGTGACTCATTCAGTTTGATGTTTGACGTTTACAAATATAAATATATATGCGTCAATGGATCGCAATCATAGAGAGTGAGACAGAGGGAGCAGTTCATTATCATCACCACGGGTCGAGTCAATCGCAATCGCAAAAAATGGGCATATTTGTAATGAATTTATTTGTGTGTCGTCGATATGTGAATATTTGTTCAGAATATGTGTAAATTTTTGCACTGCAAGCCCCTCTGTTGATTGATCTCATATGACCGCAGGTCATTGTGCAATATTAAATTTGCTTTTGCTAGCAATTGATACGCAACGATGGATTAATTCGGATCTCTTTTCGTTCAATGTAGCCCAACACATCGATTATCATTGTATGCTGAAATGCTCTGGTGGCTTTTCACCATGAAATGCATAATTGTCATTTCAGATGCTTTCATTTGCAAGCAATGCATGCAAATGACATGTTGTTCCGAGGTTTTCTGTTGAAAAAAATAAAAAATATAAAACGCAAAATCTCTAATATTAAAACATTGGATGAAATCAGATCAAAGATAAACCGACCGAATGGGAATGTTGACATTCGCAAAATTCCTTGGACATTTTGCCATGGTAACATAGTTTTATCGGTTCTTCACATCTCGTACTTGGTATTTGTATATATGCGCGTTGCTAAACAACACTCGAGTCAAAAAAGGGTTTCTGTTGTACTTTTGCATTCCGAAAAGTTTAAACTTTTTTTTTGTTCTTCTGCAGCCAAAGCGACACAGAAACACAGACAAGGGAATCTCTATGTTAGCCTCGAGCGACTAAATTAATAGCAATATGTGGTTGCTCGTATCAAGCAAATGCATGTGTGTAATCAAGAATCTTATACGAGACAATGAGAGGATTCTTCTTTTTGCTGCTGCTTGTATCAATTGGAAAAAGTTGTTAGATACGAATAAAGATATGCGTTGTGCTTAAACTTGCAATCTCGGCTTGTGTGCAATGCATAACCATTCACTCACAAACACACACACACATACATATGTGATACGCTACAAAGTGTGTATGTGTGCACAAGATCTCTCAACTATATCGAAATCTAATTCGGTTGCGTTTATGGAAATGATATTTGCAAGTAGAGAGGAGAGACCGTGCCTCGACTGACATAAATGAATCGTGCCGCATTCAAATGTTATCATTTTACGCAAAGCAATACCCATTTCCTTCATTATCACACCATGATCAATTGCAAAATCCCTTTAAAATTCCACCTTTCATGTCATTTCTCCGGTGCATTTGGGATTCATTCGGCAAAATAATATGATTTGTATTTGCAACGAAACTGCATGCTCGTGCATATTTTCGTTTACTTTGCAGCGCAAATGATTACACGCTCTCGCTCACTACCGTTCTTGCCTGGCTGCTTTTTTTCCTGTTTTGCTTTCCTTTCACTTCAACTGCATTCTCGCATTCTCAATGTGTGTTCAATTATACCCGATGTGTTTCTCTGTTTCAATTTGAACAACCATATCACGTGCAGCGATTCTTTGAATTTGTAAACATTTTCGATGATTCTCATGTACGTCAGAGCACGGACGGAGAATCAGGAAAAGACCAAAGATATGAATTAGATGAATTCGAGTACAATTCGCATGAATGCCGCTCAATTCTGTTCCACACATGTAATGTGTGTGTGTGATTGTGACGACGGTGAACAACTTTACGTTGGCTCACATTTACACACACACACACACACGTATTGTCTACATTGTTCGTTTGAACAGTTGGCCTGCATTCCGATAGAGCTCGGCGAGAAAACGTACAATGGCAACATGAGTGAGGTGCATTCAGTGCGAACGCTTCTTGTGAAATCGTGATTCCAGCATAGTTTCGGAGCAAAAATGTGTGTGTGCACGCTCACCACCAAGATCAAAGTGATTTTTATCGAACAAACAAGTCTGCTTCTCTACATAAATCTAGTGTAAATGATCCACTGATCCAGCCGAAAATCCACCGGTACCATAGTTTTTCAAACTATTTTCTAAAATCGTGGAGCAAAAGTGTGGAAATGGGAGAGGAAAAGAGAAAGCGAGAGCTGTAATTGTTAGTCATCGACGGGTGGTTTGCTGGGTGTCTGTGGTTAAAGCGTCTTTTCTGTGAATTATGTCTTTTTTTGCAAGTGTCGATTTTTAAATTGAACACGACATAGGCGGCTGTTTCATGAGTCGAAGTGCATAACTTTGTTTGCACTATTTAATGCTACACCCAACGTTCCCATTATTACTTGTGTGTGCAATCGTTCACCAACTTTTTTTCACCCACTCTCTCTCCCTTCCTTCATTTGCCATCGCTTTTTTTCCGTAGCCACTTTTTTCTCGCATGTTTATTTTATCTTTTGAGAATTACACGGTAGAGAGTACATTTGGCAGCGTTTACGAAAATGAATATGCACAGGCACACAGCAACTGTGCAATGACGGTACAGAACTACCCGACAAAAAACACAACAAAAGTAATATATACGTGTGTCGCATTTTTTGTACCTTCGGTGGTTCGCTTTAATGGACTCGGTCTCTCGTTCATTCGGTGTCCACACTCTCATTTGGTATTGTGTGCTGTGTTTGGTGCATGAGTATTGTTTTACATCCTGCATATTTCCATATATATTGTTACGTTAAAATGGTAATTTCGTTTCTGTTTCGATTTTCAGTTTTATCCAAAAAGAAAAGATAAAAACATCGAAGTTGAGGCTATGACAGAAAAACCCAGTATTGCATTTAGCTTTTGTTAAAGTTCTTGCACATGAAATCCGTGCAAATCCATTGATAAATCCACTTTTAAAAAGTGTGTGTTTGAGTGCGCGCTGTATGTGTATATGAAATTCAAAATCGCCGGACCATATATGCAACACTGAACACCAGCAGGGAAAAAAAAACCAGATAATGAGAGTTTTCGACTCACATCTCTCAAAATCGCTCTAGCAACATCCTAGTTTCTGCATCAATCGTTCCAACGAAATATTTATGTGTTGTTTTTTTAAGCTCACACTCACCCGCACACACTCACCCGCTTTTTATCCACTCTCACGCTACGTCGATAACAATACGAAGTTCAGTCAGTTTTTCGAGTGTTACAAGATACGAGAGTTGCTCATTTTTGTCAAAAACTCTATCAGTAAAAATGGTTGATTAAGAGGATGTATGCAGAGAGTTAGTTGGAAAAAAATGAATACAATAATAATGCTACCCAAACGAAATGCACACTTGTACAGTCTGCAACTGACTGCAACATTGCTATCCTTAAGCTGTTTTAATATTTTATCGACTTATATCTGAAAACGCATAAAATTCTGATTATTTCGAACGCTTATAGAGAGAAATAAAGTGAAACAGAGCGAAAAAATGAAAATAGTCAATATATAGATAGAAGCGCTTCTTATTCGAATATCCATGCACTGCACATAGCATCTTAGTACATATGACGAATTTGAAATGTCGTTGTCATCGTAGTTGTTGTTGTCGTTGTCGTCATCGTACGTACGAGTTATGTCAGTATTTTCATTTCACCAAATAGTCAATATTAGTTAGTCATCTTCATTAATACGTAATGTAATGATATGGCGTCTGTGTGCAATTTTCAAAAATGGCAAAATGAAATGTTCGTCCATAAAATCATGAATAAATTCTAGATGAAAAAGGATACACTCGGAGTGATCCAGATTTGTCGCCTATAGCTAAGAGTTTTTGAACTGGGTCATATCCTAGTGCGGTTGGTGAATGCGGAAAACCATGACGAAAAGTCTGCAAAAAAAGGAAGAGAAAAAAAGGGAGAAAATGAAATTATTTAACATTTCGCAAACTATTAAAATGAAAACAATTCTATTTATAGAACAATTTATTCGTAAATTTACATTGTGACGTCTGACGATAAAAGGGGGAATTTATTGTAATTAACCAAACGCGCTATTTCATGTGATATGGAGCGTGTGCGTGTGCGTTTGCGTTTGCGGGCGAGTTTCTGAAGCATTCGGTTGTGTACATGGGACGAACGAAAAAGTCACCAAAGCTTCGATGGAATGTGACGTAAACATTATTGTTTGTAAATCGTGTTCATTCCCATTCAATCAACTTATGCATGGCAACCGATCCCTTTCACATATTCCATTTGCAATTTTATGTATATCCGTTCAAAGTGAGTGTACAAGTGCACATGTAATTTAATCAAACAACTGAAATTCCATATTTCAGGCGAATGACACACGTACGAGAAAAAAAATTGCATAAAAATATTACTGAAAAAATATGAGGGACAAAAATCCAATATACACAGAGATCTAGATAGATGTTTGCAATTTTGTATGGTTTTGGTTGTCATGTAATTAAAATTGGAATTTAATAAAACAAATAATGACGGTTCATTTTTTTCGATAGCCAATAAACCAGGCAAAGAGTTCTCTTCAGTAAAAAAAAAAATTGCAACAAACAAACGAACGAATCGGCTTGGTTTGACTTCAATTTTGATTTCTCAATTTATCGAAATCGACCAATCCCAAAATGAAACGTACTTTGACGCTGTATGTACTTCAACATGTATATTCGTCGAATCGGAATATAAAGTCGTTTTTTGACACATGAAACGACAACCGTTTTCCATGAAATTCCAATGCAAATGTCGATACATATAATGTGCTCATATTCGCATTTTCGACGTGTATCAAATTCGGTAAGAGTTGCCCCTCTCAGCGCCGCTCCATTCGTCTCCTCTGTATGACGCTTCAATTGCGATGTCTCGCAGATATTCTGTATCCAAATGTACGTATAGCACACATTTGCCAAATACCTCGAACGCAAAAATATTCGAACGTTTCATCGCAATTTTGCTGAATAAAAGGCCATGGCACCATGGCAGCAGCAAAAAAAAGAGTATCAGAAACCGTTCTCAAACAGAAAATTATTTGATAAATATATATATATGCAATAATTTGGCGTTCGTTGTTGTGAGAGGAGTCATGCTGAATGGTTGTTGGGTGCATACCGAATATTGCGAATGAACGCAACATGAACGATATGATGGGAGTCGAGCGCACACACACAAGTCAGCAGAAACTCTACCGTATTCGGTTGTTGGTTGCGTGCAAACACATAGTCGGAATACTTTTGCAAAGCATCATAATGTATGCAACATGAATCGAACCAAAAAAAAACAACCAATAAGTCGTAGTGCATGTAGCCATTTTCTGGCATCAAGATCGATAAGAAATTTTTCAATTTTGCCATCCTGATTCGGTTACGGAATTCAACAAATCAAATATGAAATAAATAAAGAGGGAATGAGTGTGGAAGGGAGAGAGAAACGAACCGCATACACGCTCTCGCTCACATGAGCACACGTTTTAAAAGCATATTTTCATATTATAACCCGAACTCGTCGACAGCCAACAAAACGAAATTCTAGCTTCAATCAAAATTTATGTGGTTCTATCGAGAAGAAAATGAAAAATGGCAATTATTTTATCGACTTGTATTGGATTTGTATACGGGGAGAAAATTTTTGTAAAACTAATTAATGGATATTGCGGAATTTGGAAAATATTTTTGCGGACAATATTCGTGCACACAGCGTCCCAGTTTTATGAAGCGAAGGCGGCGGCAGCAAGTGCTCTTTATTTGCAACGGACGCTTGTTTTTCCGAAGCACTTGAATACGGTTTGTTTTCTTTCTCTCTCTCTCTCTCATCTCATCCCCTCTCATGACTTGGCGAATTTACTCGCTGGCACATTCTCGTCCTCGTGAATGCTTGCCGTATTCGCCCGCTTTCAATGTACGGACGATATATCACTGATCCATTTTCTGCTATTAGTAATGCTTAAGCGATCCAATCTGACTCTAAAATACGATGGATGCGTGCATTGAATACACGCATTTATCGATTCAGGCACATAAATAAAGAACACTCAATGTACATATTTATGCTTATCGTTAAGCAAATGCCGGCTATCGACAAATTATTGCGTATAGTAAAAATAAACGGGGATTTTTTTTCGAAAACTTCTTTTCCTTCAAAATTCATTCCGCAATGGAACTTGACATCCTCAGTATGGAAAAAAATGTTGACCTTTTCCGTTTTCTTTGCTGTTTTGGAAAATCTGTTTTTATTCAACAGGAAATGCTACAAGTCTTTAGGGTACAATCTAGAATCACAGCGTATCAAAATATTATGTTGAAACAGACGAGCATCCATACATTTTTGCTTTGACGAGGTCATTTCTCGGTGGTATTTTGCCTCGATAAACTTAAATTGATTATAAATGGTCAATCGGATTTGATGTGAACGCGATTCGATTGGGCAAAATTGCAAATTTATTGTTCCGAAATGTCTATAAAATTGCAATCAATGGATGCTTGACTCGGGCATAGTATATGCTCGCTGCTTGTGGTAACTCCATCATCAAAACTGACTTAAAATTTGAATTGCGATAACAAATTCATAGCATTCTTCCACCTAACTGACGAAAGCCACACTGATCCCAAGCGCTTTTCGTTCAGACTCTCACCACCTAAATAGCTAAATAGAAATGTTTTCGTGCACGACAATATGACTACCTTCTAAACGGAATGTAAATTGGTATGCATGGCGGTTCACATTGTTTCTATATCAAATGTGGCTGTTAAATGGAAGTTTCTTTTTTCTTCTGCCTTGTCTGCGTTTGCCAAAGTGAAATACTTTCGAGCACATTAATTGATAACGAACATGAGCCTATGACAAAGCTAGTTTAATTTCGAGAGAGAATTTATTCATATTCCGGAATTCCTGAATGTGTATTTTACGAAATATTTCGTTCGCATTCGTTGAAAAACTTGAAACGTTGGTTTCACAATTTGCCATATCACATTTTTTGGCAAGTAACCGAACAAAAAAGAAATACTACCTACAGTCTTACTGGCAAAATATTCGGTCTCAAATGTTTTTTTAGAATTTAAATGTATGTGTAGAAAGAAAATAGAGAGGCTTGTTTGCACAAATGTTTAAAGTCAATATTTTTGAAGTGGGTCCCACTACCGTCCGTTGACTCTCTATGTAGATATGTGTAATTTACATTTAACTTTATCCGGAGTTTTTCAGGATTTGTAACTATTTGTGGAATGTTCTGAAACATAAATTTGCTTCAACTTTTTCTGTCTGTCTATGAATGTTATTGGAATCTAAAATAAAGTGCTCGAGATTTGAGCACGTGTTAGGTTAAATCATCCAGCAGGTTCATTAGTTGTCCAATGGTTTATTGATTTCACCGTTTCCACATAAATAAATGAATATGGGATTTTTTTTGCTGTTGTCGACAAAGGCATGTCATTTTTCATATTGTGCGTGTGTGTTGGCGTGAGCGTGAGTATGAGGTGAAATTGTTGCAGGTGTACCGAGCGTTGATATTAATTGAATAAATTTATTAAACATATTTAAGCTCATGCATGGAATGCCATTGCGCGTATTTCGAGGGATTTTGCGATAACATTTTAGTTTGCGAGCAGTACGAACTGAACGCTTCATCATTATCGATGTGTGTATGTATATATGAGTGTATGTGAGCATGTAAATTTCGCCTGAAATAATTTCATCTCATTTTTATTTCGGTATTCGACATGATAAAATATTCAAAAAATGCTGCAAATTCCTGACAGACAGAACAGAACCGAACCGAACACAGAGAAAAAAAACCTTCACACACGAGAACTGAAAGCATTTTTAAATTCGATACATATATCAAATTGTTTGCCAACATTTTCCTATCCGTGCAAATCAGGAGGGGGGAGATGAAGCAAAACAATGTTCGTTATGAGCTATGCGTGCGTGGATGTGGGAGCTGCCTTTTATACATGTGAATAGGTTTCCACTTAAACGCACCACGTACACATTTAACAACGAAGAGAAGAACTCGAAGCGTTAAATATGTAGTCAAGTGCTCCCTCTCTCCCTCTCTCCCTCTCTCTGTATACATATATGTAATATGGCTTGGTTTGGTTCTTTTTTGTTCGTCGCTGCCGCTGCCGCTTCCGCTGCCACCGCTCATGTAGTCGATGTGAGCTTGTGTATATGATGAAGTCAATAGCAAAGTTATTTTCCATACCATTTCAACCACGATAAACTTTGCAATTTCATACAATGTGCACTTTGTTTGCTAGTGATGTTGCTTGGTTTGATGATTAACAAAAAATGTATATATAACAGTAATAATCACATTTCAATTGAATAGAACGCTCATTTCATGGGTTGATGTGTACAGCATGCAACCTGAACATGCTGAGATATTCAATCTGCATGCTTCACCTCCAACCATTTCTCGTTTCAACATGTTGAGAGAGAGAGAGATAGGGAGAGAGAGAGAGGAGAGAGCACACATTTCATTTGCTATCGGCCACATGATCAATTTTCCAAATAGTTTGGCAATTGTGGTTGTGTTGGCAGTAAAACTTTTGATATTTCAGTTGTTGCAAACAATCATTGTCGACAACGTTTGCTCGTATCTCCTCTCATTCTATCTCAAAAATAGATTTTATTTTTCGATAAATTTTCAGATAAAATTGAGACGATAAATGCTTACCTAGAAGAAGAATGTTGACAAGAGTAACACAATCCGACGGCAACATGAAAATGTAAAAAGAGAACAACATTTAAGTAAGTTTCGAACAATTCGAAAGTTTTAATATTATTTAATAAAATATTGAAGTTTGAACATTCGAAAAAGGAGACATGTTTGTGTAATGATGGCGATATCACATTTCTGATTCAGTGAAAGTCCCAAACC